TTACTTGGAGGAAGAAATGTACTTTTTAAACTAAGCATAGATAGGTGTTCTTCATATTTCTGGGGTTTGCACAGACTGTCTCATTGCTGATAACTTTGAGGGATATGCCCAAAGCAAATAAACTCTAAGAATGTAGACACATACTCACATTTATAGTTTGAAGTGAGAAAAAAATCATCAGCAAGTACATAATTACTTTGAACAATGAAAGTGGCCAGAAATGTAGAAGGAAATGTAAAAAGAAAAGATTTTCTCTAGGTTAGTGGGGTCCACAGTTAATGTTTTCCACTCGACTATGGAAGAATGGTTTGTGGAAAATTTGTAAATCACACTGTTTGATTAAGTAGGACTTTGCTGGTGATTGTGTACAACAGTTCGAAATCTGCAATCCTGCAAAGACCCCTGCAAAGGCAAGTGACATAGAGGCTTGGCTTATCCAGGATGGATAAAAAAAATTACTTGAAGAAATCATAGGAGGGAATAAAAAGGAGCTCCTTGTACTGCTTCTTATTCTCAGAGGAATTTCATATGCCTCTGCCTAAATCTGCTTCATAAAGACTTTCTTTCAAGTAACTGAAGGTCAGTTTGTCTGCCAGTGCATTCAAGTTTAAAAGTAATATTTACCGTGAATTCCCTTTTATACGTGTGTATAGGTACAAAACACCATAGGCACTGTTCTTGAAGTAAACCTGAGAAGTGTATCCAAAATACAACACCTTTAAAATTAGACATGCTTGATAAGAAAAGTTTTCCAGATTCTTTGCCTCCTCGAAAAATGATTACCAGGTAATATTTTTGATAGGCCCAATTTAGATGTTTAAAATTAAACATGAGAGGTTTTCTTTTCCCCTAAAACTAGAACATATTCAAAGGAGTACATACAGAACTAAAATAATTAAAATGGTAAGATCTTGATCGAATCCCCCCGCCACGATGTTACCATGGAAAATAAGAACTGTGCTTAACAAAGAATTACGAAACAAAAACTTCTTAATCTTATGTGTGTGGAAATCCTCCTCCAAGAAAATCTTGCCTTATAGTGTCTTTTAGGCATGTATTCTCACTGATTCTGAGTTTAAAGCTTAGACAGCTATGAAGAACTGAAATAAAACACGAAGGACTAAAGGAAAAATCATTTTCTGCCTCATTCGGTTAAGAATAAGTTTTGAAAAATATTGCATGAAATAGTAAATTATACACATATTAAATTATGTATACATCAATGATACCCAGAGGCAACAAGGAAGTAAAAAGAAAAAAAAAAAGAAAACCTTCATTATTTTGTCTGGAAAAAGCCATAGGCTTAAATGTGCAAGAAACACTTATGAGTCCTAGTTAGATCGCTAGTCAACTCTGCCTCGGTTTCCTCATCTGTAAAATGGAGTTACGGTTATAGTCCTCCGCCACCTCCTTCTCCTTCCTACATCCCAGAGTTGATGAAAGAAACTTAATGTTTAGTAAAAGGTAAAACTCTAAGGCAAAGGCTTTCATGAACAAGTGTATCACAATATTTCTGTGTCCCCTTTTTCCCTGTGTTTCTCTATGAAAGAAACTTAATTTCACTGTAATGACTATATCTACTGTAAAAATGTGGACAGGTTTGTGAATTAATTTGAACATCTGCTATGAATAGCCTTCAGAATCTGTATAATTTCATGTGTTATTTTTATAAATGATCCATATAAAGAAAGCTACCAGCTTGAGTTTCACAGTGTCAAACTGTGAATTTATCATTCCTAGTTAGTGGAAACTATTCCTAAGTTATTATCAATTAGATATTTATACATTTAAGTATTTTTTGTTAGGAAAGCTTGAAAAATGAAAATGTTAGCAAGACTCATTCTGGGACTTGTCATCTTTGATGCTGCTGTGACTGCTCCCACTCTGGACCCCATCAACTATGACTCAGAAACTTACGATGCCACTTTGGACGACCTGGATAATTTATACAACTATGAAAACATACCTATTGGTCAAGCTGAGGTAACTGATTCCTGCCTCTCTTGAGACTTTTAAAAGCATGAATATGGGGAGTTATTGAGATTTGCTTTCTTCAAATAGATTTTTGTTTATTTATAAATAGAGATGTTCTAGCTTAATGGTTTCATATGAACCCTTTCTCCACAATCTGTTCAATCTGTTGGAAGTTAACATTGGGACACTCTTTTGCTTTCGCCTGGTTCACTTCATTTTCTTTATATCTTATCACAAATTAAAACAACAATAACAGGGGCGCCTGGGTGGCGCAGTCGGTTAAGCGTCCTACTTCAGCCAGGTCACGATCTCGCGGTCCGTGAGTTCGAGCCCCGCGTCAGGCTCTGGGCTGATGGCTCAGAGCCTGGAGCCTGTTTCCGATTCTGTGTCTCCCTCTCTCTCTGCCCCTCCCCCGTTCATGCTCTGTCTCTCTCTGTCCCAAAAATAAATAAATGTTGAAAAAAAAATTTAAAAAAATAAAAAATAAAAAATAAAACAACAATAACAAAAAAGAGTTTCTTTCAAGTTAGAAGAGAGAGCATTAGAGGAGAAGAGTGGAAATAGTACACGTGTGATAATAAAGAAGTTGGGGAAGTTTGGGGCAAAGGACAAAGAGGAAAATAAATTTGAATAAAATAAGAATGCAAAGAAAGGGCAGTGATTTGGAACTCCACTGTGTTCCAAGAGTGAGTGTGCTTTTCTAAATGACGGATTATCTCTCAGCTAATGTAGGCATTGGCAAGGTTACAGCCCATTACATAAATCTGATATGACATGTTTCCAATTAAATGTTAGACTTTTTACATAACTAAAGGATACAGACTAATTTTTTAAATCAAAACACAAATAGACCTTGAAATGTTGGAGGGTAATTAATGTACAACATTGACAAAAACTAATTAAGCATAAATCAACCAAAAGGGAAGTTACATCACCTTTACAGGATCATAACATATTTTGGGCAGTCACTCAAGTGTAAGTCTTGTTAGAATAATTACTTTTGGTAACTAGGGAAATAAAATATTTTGACAAAAGCATTTATTTAAATTGTATGGACGTAGCTATATCTTTATTAAGAGGATATGCATTCTCGTTATTGTTTATGTTGCCTTATGAAATTTAATCAAATTTTTGCAATGCGATGACTCTCACATCTTCTTCCCCACCCCATTTTCCTTTCCATCCTCCTCTCTTTTGTTTTTACGCTCTTCCCACCCCATTCCTTCTCTGTCTCCCTCTTTCCTTATTTTTAGTAAAGTTTTAGGCTTGACAGAAGACCACTTGTCTTCTGCACATTTGGTTGTGATTGTTTTCCAAGTCTTTATACATTGTTTGATTCATTTTGCTGTATGACTTCTACTATGTTAAGGGAATTTTCTGTAGAGTTTATAGTCATTAACACTAGTCTTGCTATACATGTTCTCTAGATCTCCAATCTAATGCATCAGTTTAGAATATAAGGAGAAACTTTGTCAGTGCTTAACTGCTCTGCTCTGCTCTTTTTCCCATTTTGCATAAATATTTAAAAAAAAAAAGACTCAGTATGTATCTGCAGTTATCTACCAAGCTAAATATTTTAGTTTTAAATGTACTGTCATTCCTCCAAAAGATATTTCATAGGATCAAAGAGGTTTGATGAGTATCATCAGTGAATCCTCTGTTGTGAGTAGGCCTGTGGAGTGGGTTCTAGAGACTGCTCAAGGCTGCCCTAGATAAAATTTTGAAGGAGATGAGCTTTATCTGTAGACCTCTTTAAAGCCATTCCTTGATGTCAGAATCCCTTTTTGCTGCACAGACATTCTCAAGAGATTCTGAAGTGATAAATGTATCTCTATAAAGATGGTTTCGTATCCAACCGTTCCTCAGTATTTTCATATTCTGGAAGAGCAACCTTCTTGCAAGGTACCAAATATGTGGCATTGTATCCTGTTACTTCATTCAAATATGCTTAATTTTCACACTGACGTAGGCAAACTCAGCATCCTTAACAACTCTCTCCAGAGAGCCACAAAATAATCTCTTGTTGATGACTGAAATACATAAGTCATCCCTGATTTAATAATCTTTTGTGATGAAGAAAACCAGTTTATAGATAGATGATATACATATACACATATACCTGTGCTATAATGAAAATGTAACACATTTGAAAACAAACTATGCATAATTTTTTAATTTTACCACGTTGGTCCAGTAGCAAAAACCAATTCACCAATCCACTCACCCACCACCTATGAAAAAACAAAATACAAAAACAATGTAATATAATAAATAAAATGACCTGAGGAATAAAATTCAGAACTTAAGCTCAGATCTTAACAAGTTGTTAATGTAAATTGCTTTAGAAACAAAGAACTAATATTCAATTCCTTATGAGAAGATGTGAAATGAAGCCAATAGATCCAGCCATGCTGCATGGATTCTAGAATGTAGTTACTCATTACCTGAATTTCTTGACTTTAGTCATGGAAATTCAGATTCTGACAACTCCTGATAAGCTTCTTTATCTCATATTTATCAACTAAGAACAGTTGTTCTACATTTTCTTATTCCTGTATGACACTTTTTGAGTGAACACACTGGTAACTTACCCATATAAGGTACAGTTGATAAAAAAAATTCATGGTAAATGAAGCACATGGAGAATGGTAAGATAAGGTTCTTTTCTTTTATGTCTTCAATCCCAAGAGTGTGGTTCTGACTATGTTAGTCTAGAATTTATTTCATTTCTAGAAAAGGCAAGTTTATATTTTAAAATTATAAATTTATAGAATAACCGAGCAATGTTTCTAAAATATATGCCAGTTTCTTTCTTACAAATTTTAAGACTTGCATCTTGGGCCAATATAATAGACCCTCTAGACTTTGAATGATTTACCCTTAAGGCCTTAGACATATGAGGTAGGCAGAAATCTAAGATGTCCCCTAAGTGACTCCTTCCCTGGTGTGTCCATGCCCTCTATAATTCTCAACATCATAACTGTATTGGGATATCAGGCTTATAATTAGGTTATTTTATATGGCACAACTGAAATTTAAAAAGGGAGATTCCACTGGTTGGCTTGATCTATACTAATGAGTCCTTTAAAACAGTGTCTTGAGGTCAGGGACAAATTTTAAAGCATGAAATGAATTCAAGGAAATGGAAAACTATTTGTTGCTGGCTTTAAAGATGGATGGGTCCATATAGCAAGGAATGCAGGAAGTCTCTAAATTTTGAGAGTGGCTGACAGCCAGAGAGCATAGTGGAAACCACAGTCCTATAGATATAAGGAACCCAGAGGTATACCTGAGATCACAGCCCTGGCCATTAGCTTGATTTTAGCCTTGTGAGACCCTGGGCAGATGTCTGGCCATTCCTGGACTTCTGACCATTCCCGGCCATTCCTGGACTTCCAACTCACAGAAACTGTTAGTTAAAAATGGGTATAGATTTAAGCTGCTAAATGTATAGCAATTTGCTTTGCAGCCATAGAAAACTAATACAATATGTAATAATGTAAATTTTTTTCTGAAAACCAAATTTGAATTGTACTGCTGCAAGGCTTGCATTTGTGAATCCAGTGATTTATCTAGCAATGAGCCAAACCACCCCTCCAACCCCAGAGTTAGAATCTCAATAGAGCTTTGTCGATTTCTACTGGTGATAGTATATTCATTACCTCCCTAGTGAGTGAAAGGGTCATGAAAGAATTTCTAGTTTTGAAAATGACATGCAGGAATAGTATTCCAGACTGCTGACTTAAGTGATTTCTGATGATTTAGAATATTCAGAATCTGCTGGATTCTGTGTTAGAAGCAGATCTTAGGCTCAGCAATTCCATCATAATGCTCTATGTTACCCAGTGGATAATGGATAAACTTGCTGGTATAACATAAATTTTTTTCAGTCTTTTACTTAGCCTTTATTTTAATTTAATGGTACAAGTGAGAATTGGTTACAAGCCGTAAGACAAAAATATGAACTTTTTGCTTTCTGATGAATATTAGCTAACCTTGATTGAGCACTTTTTATGTGCTGAGTACTATTCTAGGCCTGTCACATGCATGATCTCATTACTCACAACAAAACTAGGAATGATATTGTTCTTTTCATTGAATACATGAGACTATTGCGATAAAGAGCGGTTAAGTAACTTGGTTAAGATCATAGTTGTTAATGACATATAATTATAGTGATATTATCTTCTCGTATCAGAAAATAATTTCCAGCAGGTTAATAAAAAATATATATTATCCTCCCTCCATTTTCTACCATTTTCCAAATTGTCCTTTTAACTTGATACTTGTTTTAGTAGAATTGAATGCTGGTGCTCCAAAACTGCTAAAAGCATTTGTTCTATGGGTGAATAATGTAATCTAGAAGTAAATTTTAGAGACAGTTGACTTACCCAACTTGTAAGAAAGAATGGTTTAAGACTAACTACTTCAGGAGCTCCTGTGTGTATTAGTAGGTTGAGCATCCGACTTCGGCTCAAGTCATGATCTCGTGGTTTGTGAGTTCAAGCCCCACGTCGGACGCTAGCTCGGAGCCTGGAGCCTGCTTCAGATTCTGTGTCTCCCTCTCTCTCTCTGTCCCTCCTCCACTTGTGCTCTGTCTCTCTCTCTCTCAAAAATGAATAAATGTAAAAAAAAAATTAAAATAAAAAAAAGACTACTTCAAAGATTAATTGTAGATAGTCATCCTCCAACATAGTATATCTATGCTATGGGGAATTGCCTATAGCTATCTCTCTATGTCTCTATTTCTATCCATCTATCTATCTATCTATCTATCCATCTATCTATCTAACATCTATCTATCCATCCATCCAATGTAGATATAGATATAGATACAAATATAAATATAGATAGATATATAAAATCATAAATATTTGGTGGTTTAGACTCCACGGAAACATTTTGTTATTTGCCTTAAAGTTTTCATCAGCACACAGTTAAAAATTTGATATTCTTTGAGTGATTTAAACTGAGACTGTATTTTTGATTAAGTTAGGTATTTGATGCTTCTGTTTCCATGGTATAGTTTTGGGGTTATTGATTACTCATTTCTCTTAGGTCTCAGAAAAACATTGGCCTGCCCATGAGTTATTTCCTTTGCCCAGAAAAGTACTCAGTGGCAGTAATAGTATTTATGGAGCATATGAACTTCCGTTCCTGCAGTAACCTTTCCTTGGCTCCATCCAATCAGATTTACCCTCCCCTATCCTGCCTCACTCTAGTCTTATATAATTACTTGTACTTAATTGCATCTGCAGTGTCTCTGCATCTTTAATAAACACCATAAATGTTGTATCACAGAGCCCTGCGGAGCACTTGGTTGTACTTAATGTGGGACAGCATGAGGGGCACTTACAGTGATGCCATACAATGCTCTTCAGGAGGATATGGGGTAGACATTTCTCTCAGGCCTCAGTACCCAAATGGGTTGCAAATTTTCAGGAATGTGCTTATTTTCTGGGCTCTACATCTTGTAAATAATTGTGTTTGTCATTTTGCTCAGAAATTTGGGCCCTGAATTTTTGCTGCATTCTTTCCTCATTTTATATTACTTCCCCCACCTTTACTTTCCCATCATCCTAATCTCCTCGTGTAGACTGTTTGAAGAATTACCATATGTGCTTTTAAAACTGCCTCATATACTTTCTGGAATAGGATGGAGTAAGCATTCATAGCTAAATGGCAATAACTAATAAAGGGATATCAGTAATAATTGACCCATGGGGATTTTTTTGAATGAGAGGTGCCTTCCTTGCTATGACTCTCCATTGATCTTAAAATTAGGCCATTGTTTTCTTTTTCATAAGGAGAATAAGTAGTGAACTTATTTAAAATCATCCCAAAGAAAATCACCATTGAAAGAAATGACTTAAGCTTAAAAAATAGCTTTCAGGGATGAAGAAGCGATAAGATTCATCAAAGGAATGAAAGTTAAATTTAGTGGAGTTGTAGAAATGGGCAAGTATTCAGTGAAGGCAGTTGTATCCAGGGACAGTTGAACAATGGTTTCTTTTCAGTTGCCATAATGGTAATATGATGCCATGCAGAATAATTTTAGAACAAATGTTGGTGCCCTGTAACACTAGAAATTGCTTAAGAAAATGACATTAACTTTGAGCTACTCATAGAATCAATGTCCACTTCAGATAATGATATATAAAAAGTATTTTAATTAGGTTTAAATATGATAAATTGGTATAAAGCTTTGGTAATGCTAACAGATAACATCTTTGCATTTTCTGAACAAAAAGCAATTAATTAGTAATATTTCTACTATTTATTTCCTCTGGTAATAAAGATATGGAATACTTTTATCTTTTATCTTTTTTTTTACCTTTATATTTGGAATGATGTCTCACTTTGGCCAGTTTATGAAATATATTTAAAAGTTTCAAACTTATGGTTTGCATATAAAATACTTTTTATTGGAAGAGGTAACTTAAACTCAGCCTGAATTAAATGTTCTTTTCAGAATTTGGCAAAAAATAAAAGCTAATATTTCTCCTCACCCTCCCTCCTCACCAAAGACACTCTGGAGAAAGTGGGGGGGGAGGGTAGAATTTTGCTGATGAGCTTTTAATATGGTTGTCTGATTGACTTTCCATATGCTTCTTTTAAAAACAGTGTTAAACTATTTGAATCTCATTTTAAAACTATTTGAAAACTTTAAGAAAATGCAACAAACATACAATCATATAGGCTCATCAGGAAACAAAAGAACACTGATAGTCTTTGCCAGTGACTTATTTGTGTTTGTATTATACGTTATTTATGAGACCACAAACCTAAGTTAATTCTCATAACTATCCTTTGAAATGATAAATTATTCTATTATTATTATTATTAACAATTGAAGATCAGAATTTTGCCCAAGGTTATTCAGCTAGTACGTTTCAGAGTAAAATTTAAACCAGATTGTTTTAATGCCAAACCAGAGAGACTTTGGCATTAAAAGCTTCCATTATTTTCCTTCTTCTTCTCTTTAATCTTTACTTCTTTTAGCTGTGTCCAATATTGAGGTTTCTTTCCTCTGAGATTAAGTAATTTGATTATTAGGAATCAGAAAAGCAAGAATTTTCAAGTGATTATAATTAACACAATATCTAAGCATCTGTCTTAGCTGTCAAAGTATTTAAGGGAGCAAGAGGTAAGACAATCCCTCTGAACTGAAAGCTGCTTTGTGAGAAATGTGAGGATTGAGCAATCTTCGCCAAACACATTTCTTCCTCATCCATTTTCAAGATAAAATAGAAAATAAGATACAGCTTTCATTGCCAGTGTCCATGGTCACATTCTTTTAGATAATTAATATGGATCAGTTAAATCAATTTGTACACCAGGCTGATATTTAGAGAAGAATTCCACCACACTTAAGATATCTACATGCCAGTCTATGAAATCCTTATGAATGCTTCGCTAGTAACCCAGGCTGAATATATGAGAACCTTTTAACACCTTTGGAAGCCAATTGTTGACATAATGGTAACAACAAGGAATAGCTTCAAGATTTCTTATCAACTGTGTGGGACAATTTTGAGAAAAGAGAAATTTAAAATTCCATTCTGTTTAACAAAAACCTTATTCTGTGCAAATATGAAAATCCAAATAACATTCTGGATTTCTATTTTTTTTTTAATGAGAAGCAGATCTGTAATTTAAATATTTTCTGCTGAAGGCCTGGACTTACTGGTTAGGAATTGACTGGCAGAGTGAGGATCTTAATCAAAATGAATACATAGGTGAGGACATTTGTTTTCCAATCTGACTTTGGTTGGGCATTTAAATTATTAAACCACACACTACAAAGAATAATGTAACAAACCACTAACTTTGGGTATTAACCCAAAACTGTGGTTAACCACAGTCGTCAGATTAGTGCCTGATTCAGTAAATCGTAGTGCATGGAGGGACAAAGCAATGTATGTTCTTGACAGGCAGACAATTCTCCCCAAAAGGGAGGGTGAACCACTCAGTCCTAGTATCTTCTGCCATCCACCAATTAGCCTAGTCATTCTTTTTCAGGAAGAGTGAATGAAAGAGC